GCCACTCGGCCGGCCCTGAGTTTAGGAAATTTGCCCAAGGGTCATATTATTTGAAAGGGATTAAACCACAATTCAAATTCATAGTTGTGCCTTTTACTATCCTTTGAATGAATTCAGCTTTGTTGGGCTTTTTTGTTTTGTTTTGTTTTGTTTTGTTTTAGCTGAGCCATCCTGCCACCTGTTTGGCAGCTCAGCAGCTGCTCAGCTCTGGCCGGGATTCGAACCGCTGTTGCTCAGAGCTCACACTCTTGAGCGAGCTCTTAACCAACTGAGCCACTCGGCCAGCCCATAAAAATTCTAAAAGAAATCTGATAATTTAACTTACTATGTATCACTGGACAAGTTCCAAAATATCGTATAAAGAGATTTACATCCAAGGCAGCACTAGAAAGAATTAGTTTCAAAGTTGGGTGCTTCTGCAACAAATCTCTTAACTTTGTAAGTAAAAAATCACTAAATCGATCCCTTTCATGTACTTCATCCTGCAGTAAACAAAAATAAAACCATGGAACAGTTAAAACATTACAGATGACTAAGTCTTTAAAATTATGGAACTGTTGGGTTTTGCACTAATTCAAATTAAATGTGGACAAGGCCAATCAGTATTAGTGAAAATTTTGTATTATGGACAATTCAGAAATAATCAGACATTAGCAACCTACTATGGGTTGTTGGTTTTTTTTCTTTTTTTTCACAGACTATAATATTACACAAACTAAAATAAATTCTGAATTAGTGAAGTCTAATTTAATGTACTTTTAATATACACAAAATCTAGTTAAATATGCTTCTGTTAGCATCAGGGCTCAGAAGCATCCTTTGGTTTGACTACACAGAGCTAATAAATTTCCAAAAGCTGTTATTGCAAGTTTATAAAACAATCTAATTTTTTCTGACACAAACTGGATAAAATAAGATAGCAATTCATCTCCTTACTTCATCAACTCCTAATTTAGGAGCTTAACCACAAAGTTAAATGATTAAAAAGTATGCCCTAAGGTTTGGAAATACGTATTAGTTAAAGGAGGAATCAGATGACTAAGCATACAGAAAAAAAGAAAACTTTCACCATTTTGAAAAACTCTAAGTACGTGCATGTATCAGCTTCATATATAAAAAAGCACTACTTATTTTATTTTCACTTGTAAAACCTGATGGTAAAAGTACATTTAATATGAAATATTTATTTCTAATTAATTATGTAAAATAAAAAGTAACTTGATTAAAATAGCCTGTTCAAAAAAACAAATTGGTTCTTACTTAAAACTTATTCCAAAAATGTAATTATGTATTGAAATTTTAAGCAATCTGAGTTATATGGCAAATTCAGGAATATTCTTACCACAATAACATGTGTCACAGTTGACAATGTACTATCTCCTGCCATCAATGTACGAAGCAATACCCCATTAGTGCAAAATGTCAGAAGTGTCTTTGGAGAAACCCTTTTAAAAAGTAAAAATAACATGCACAATTACAAATGGTATATATAACTAAAACATGATCACATTAAATGCTAGTCTCATATGTACTGTAACAAATGTTAAAGTTACTAATAGTGTACCTGTATGTATGCTTTATTAGCAAACTTATGTGAAATGTATTTTACCTCTGATGATTTCATAATTTTTTTTATTACTAACAACCTTTTATTAACTAAATGATTATTTTTTAAAGGACCATAGATTTTTTTTTAAATACCTTAAATACTTTTTGCTTGGGAATAAACAAGTATACTATAAAAGTGATCAGCTTGTTGAATCACTATATTCAAACTATTGAGAGCAAAGAAATAGTACTACTCATGAAGAAAGTACTACTAGTACTGCTAATAATAATCAACTCAGTCACTAACATTGAGTGCTTACTATAAACTTCATATCAAACCTGTGCTCCAGATGCTTTTATTAGCCCTATTTTACAGATCAGCAAACTGAGGCTCAAAGAGATAAAATAACTTGTACTTGATCATAAAACTATGAAATGAAATTTGAATCTATGGTCCAAACTCTTTCTCAAACTATTCAAAACCTCACTAAGTTTAGACATGAACTCAATGTTCTGTCACAGACTTATCATTATTTGGAGCTAAATGATCATCTAACTTTCCAACTAACACATTCTCTATATTTAATGAAACATAAGCACTCAGCTTTTCTAAGAATGATAAAAGGCTACAGGAGAATTGTCTTTACCTGCTTTCTAATCGTATCTGATACCCAATTGTTTGACCAATCCTTTCTCTTCTCTCTGCAGCAACTCTTTCAGCCACAGCAATAGCTGCTAATCGTCTTGGTTGAGTACAAAATATACGGCAGGGAATACCATTTTTAAAGCAATCATCTAAAAGGAACTGAGGAATCTGAAACAAAAGTATTAAAGTACTATAAAATGTCGTGTTTGTATGCCCAGAAAATCCAAATCAATAACTGAAAAAATATTAGAACTATAAAAGTTCTGTAACATGTTCAAATATAAAATAATAATAAAATCAACAACATTCATGTAACTGCTAATAAACAGCTAGAAAATGTAATTTAAAAAGATCTTGCCCACAACAGAAACTAAAATGCTGAAAACCAAATTCAGAAAGTAGTTAAAGCTTACACAAAAAACACTATAAACTTCTAATGAAAAACATAAAATACCTCAATATACAAACATGACATATTCCAGAATGGGAACAATTAATATTGCAAAACTGTTAATTGTCCCCAAATTATTCTGTAAAGTCAATGAAATGACAATCAAAATTCCATCAGTATTTTTTTAATAATGAAAAGCATAAAGAAAACAAAAATAGCCTAGTACAAGGATTACAGATACTTTTCTACAGACACTATTCTATAATTAAATTCAAACAGGTCAGAAAGACTTAAAATAAAAAGTAAGTCTTCCCACCCCTACCATTACCAACAGTCCTCTCCAAAAAAGTAACTACTTTTAAGTTTCTTATGAACTCTTTCAGGAAAAAAGGTTTACACATTTAGAATATTTGTACATACTCGTATAAATAGGTTTTTATTCACACAAAGTGATTATTGTACTTAATGTTTGTAATTTGCAAATTTCATTTAACATATCAGATCTACCTAATCCATTTTAATAGCTATATATTCTACGGATATGCTACAATTTAACAAATATAACTATACATTAAGTTCCAGTTTTTTTAAGTTTGTTATTATTGATGTTGTTGCTTATTATTATAAAGAGTGCTGCAGTGAACATCTATCTTTGAACATTTATCTTTGACTATGTAAAGTCAAAGAGTATATAAATTAATTTGAACAGAAAAAGTATCAAACTTCCCTCCAAAACAATTTATATTCCTATCAACAAAGCAGGAGACACTTTTCTCCAGATGTATGCAAATACAGGATATCATCAACTTTTAAATTTCTGCCTGATAGCTGAAAAATAAAATTGTTTTGATTTCATTTCTGAGAGAGAGAGAGAGAGAGAGAGAGAGAGAGAGAGAGAGAGAGAGAGAGAGAGAGAGAGAGAAGAGAGAATCTCTTCATCTCTTCATGCATGTCTTAACCTCTAGGATTTTTTTAAACTTGACTAGTTCACCCAGAGCAAAAAATGTACACAAACTAAGAAATATTTAAAAAGAATAGATAATAAAGAAGAATATTATGCTAAAGCTACAGAAAGAAAAAAGGTGGAATCCTGGTGCAAAAAATATAATTAAAGACAAATAACAAAAATTCCAGAAATAGACCCAGGTACTATAAAAACTTAGTAGTAAATCAAAAGTGGTATCTTAAATCAGGGAAGAAAGGATAATTAAATAAAAACTGTATTATTAATACAACAACTAGATATTAACATGAGGAAAAAAGTAAGATTTCTACCTGATATGCTAAAATAAAATAAATGCCAGGTGGAATTTTAAAACTATAAATATAAAAATATTAGAAAAATATTTATAGAAAAGTATTTTTTAATCTTGAGTAGAAAATACCCTTATTAGCATGGCTAAAAGGCCTAAAAAACATTGACAGATTTGACTAAATAAAAATACAAGCTACTAAACAAGATACCATAAGCCAAGCTAAAAAGCAAACAAATAGAGGGAAATTATGTTCAAGATATCTAACAGACAACAGGCATGTATCCACAATACATAAAGCACTACTAAGAATAAATCCAAAATGATTAAACCAAAAGAAAAATGGGATACAAATAAGCAACTCAGAATACAAACAGATAATAAGCAAATGAAAAAATATTCAACTCTCTAATCAAGGAAATACAAATTAAAGCATTATTTTTTACTTATTAGATTGATATGAGTAAAAACAAATGTATACTCATTGTTGCCCAAGCTTTAGAGAACCAGAAACTTTCAATACTTTCAATACTATTTTAATACAATAACTCTTTTTCAAGTTAAGACAATAACTAGTTAAATTTCCTAGTAAAATATTAACTGCCACGCTCTTGATCCAACATGTCCCCTTCAAGGAATTTATCATATTAAAACACTTCCACTTGGCAAAGAAATATTACGATACAATATAAGAATGTAAGTACAAGAATAACATTCCTACTCTGCCATTTCCTGGCTATGTGAATTTGGATAGATTAACATTGGCAAGCTTTAGTTTTTACTCCTCATCAGTAAAAAGAGATAATAAATAGCTTGCATGTCTTGGGGTTATTGAGAGGCTTAAATGAGATAACCCTTGTAGAAGTTGAGCACATAACGGACTGTCATTTTATCATTTTTTTACAAAAATGTTCAGGAATATTATAAAGTTGTTTAAAAAATGAGGTATATCTCTAGGTGCTGACATGGAAAAAATATCCAATATCTATTAAGTAAAACAGCAACATGCAAAATGTATGTATGATACTATACCATGTTTGTTTTAAAAAACGATATATATCAATGCTATATAGAGAACAAAAATGAAATACACACAAATACACACACACACACACACACACACACACACACACACACACACACAGAAACATAAACTCCAAGGCTCTGAAAATAATGCAGGGAGAAAATGTGATGAGAATTAGATATCTTTTGCTTTCTATTATGTAATATTTTGTAATATTTTCCATAATGCTTGAATTTTACATAATAAACATGGATAATGAACATCAAAATTCAAAAGGCATTTAACTTCCTAATGCCAGTAAAGGCAAGATGAAACAGGCAAATGCTATTAACTCTAAATTCTGTTATATTTTGCAGAACAAAAACATTAGTAATTTTACTTGAACTCCTTGAACAAGATCAATTATTTCTTGTTTAAACCCATTAGATTAATAGTTTCTCCTTGAAAACCAAAGAGCATAATATTTATTCCTAATTAAATTCTCAACTATCCTTTCATAGCTAGTAAAATGACATACAAAATTGCGAAAATACATATACATAATTCTAACATACAATTATCATTAGCAAGGACATTCAAATAATTAAAAAAATATATATTTATTATATTCACCAAAATTTTCATAATGTCTATTCAATATAATTAAAACTGCTACAATTAACACCTGGCAAAACTTACTGTAATATTAAAACAATTATAACAATCTAAGACATCCGGACAGATTCAGTGGAGTTGACCCCATAAAATTTCACATGATCATAAAATGACTCAGGCTGAAGAAAAATCTTATATACTTGTATTGCTTTTAGATTAAAATTTCATCATGTTTTTATTTAGTTTTATAGACTCTGGTTTTAGGGGTAAAGAGTTATACTTCTGTGAAAATAGTTAAGTTCTACAAGTAAGTAATTCGTAAAGTTTATAGTCAACCTCTCCTACCACCTTGTCTTACCTATTGACTTAAGTTTGTTAAACCACCCAATATAACCACAGGAAATCTTAAGGAATTGTCAAAAGTAAATTTACTGTTCATAAAACAAAAGATTGTAAAACTATATTAACTAGTCTATCTCAACCTCTATCAAAAGCAAAGTAATTTTACTGTTTTAACATACTAATACGTTAAAGAACATAACCCAGAAAAGGGCATATCGTTGTGCCACTGTTACTTCCAAATTGTCACCCTAATAAGTTAAACCTCATGATAGTAAAGTATTAAATATCCAAGTCAAACTTCTTATACAATTAAGACTGACAATTAAGTTCGTGAACTTGTTGCAAAGATGTTGCTAACCTTTTTGATATCAGAGGGATTATTCATTACGAATTTGTACCAACTGGACAGTTAACCAAGTTTACTATTTGGAAGTGCTGAAAAGGCTGCATGAAAATGTTGGACGAAAAACGACATGAACTTTTCGCCAACAATTCATGGCTCTTGCATCATGACAACACACCAGCTCAAAGGGCACTGTCTGTGAGGGAGTTTTTTAGCCAGTAAACAACTGTATTGGAACACCCACCCCATTCACCTGATCTGGCCCTCAATAACTTTTCTTTACCTGAAGATAAAGGAACAATTGAAAGGAAGACATTTGGATGACACTCAGGACATCAAGGGTAACACGATGACAGCTCTGATGGCCATTCAAGAAAAAGAGTTCCAAAATTGCTTTGAAGGGTGGACTAGGTGCTGGCATTGGTGCACAGCTTCCCAAGGGATGTACTTCAAAGGTGATTGCAGTGATATTCAGCAATGAGGTATGTAGCACTTTTTTCTAGGATGAGTTCGCGAACTTAATTGTCACATGTCCTACTATTTCTATTCTATAGTCAACTTTACATTAACATTTGCTGTTATTAACACTGCTTTTAATTTAGCTATTTACAAAACACAATGCTAGGTACTTTATACACAACTCTAAATTTCACCTTGAATAGTAGCAATTAGTTCCATATGACAAATGAGAATTCTGGCTCACAGAGGTTACGAGACCAGCCTAAAAGTTCACATCCACTAAAATGAGTAAACTGGAATTTGAACTGATGGCCAAAGTCCATGTTCCTCCCATGATGCCAACTCACATCTTCACCTCTGTTTAATTGAAGGTCTGAGGTATGAGTTTACAAATAAATATTTTAAAACAGTTCCTTTCTACAAATTTTTAAAATATACTACCAGTAAAAATATTTTATTTCTAAAATAACTATTTTTGTTTTTGTGAAAATACATGTGGTATAAATTTGATGTAAAATTGTCATTGGGATAAAATATTTTTTCTTCAATAAACAACAAAGAAACAAACCTGTGTAGTCTTTCCAGACCCAGTTTCTCCTACAATCAAAACTACTTTATTTTCCTTAATTATTTTAACAATTTCTTCTTGTTTCTCAAACACTGGCAGAGACTGCCTGAAAGAATCAAATTCGGATTCTCCTCGTTTCACTGGAATCTGAGGTATGCCATTGTTGAGTCGACCACTTGTCTTGCTCATTTCCCGATTTTCTTTGAATATGAATAAAAGAAAAAAATTTATGATTGACATTTTTAAAAATGTTAAAATAAGTAATTTCTAATATAATTTCATTCAAGTGTTTCTTCTCTACTCAGTCTACATAAATTTAGCAAGCAATGCCTCAAGTGCTGTACTCCTACACTTAATATTCTTAGAGAACATGTACAAATTTCAGTATCAATTAGAAAGCAAATTTCTCAAAAGTATTTCTGGTGTATAATGCTTACAAATAAACAAAAATCAATCATTCAGTAACCATTAAAAATAAACACAATTTGATATACTAAAATGATTTTCAGGCTTATTTCTATCAATAATGACACAGAAAACTAAAATTTTATAGTAGGAAACAATTTTCTTTATTTATAAAGTCTGTTACGTACAATGTAAAAACACATTATAAAAAAATACCCTCTATATTTAAGCTAAACATGTGAGATTATGTGATCAAATAGAATAATATGGGTAAATATAAGAAGGTCCTAATGCTTAACGAATTTTCTAATTCAGCATTTTAGCCAACATCTACACTTAACTAAACAGAGGCATGATGTGTTTTATAGCCTTCACATAAGTCAAAATACTTTTGTGTGTGTATTTAAAACTTAAATTCCTTGATATCTAGGACCATGTGTTTTCTGCACTGTGTAAAGCTACTCCAATATACAGTGGAAATCATGCAAATACTGTCACTTTAGGTAATAAATAATTCTATCACTAGAGAAGTTATTTTTTCAAATAGTGAAATTACAACTTCATTTTATAATCTAAATTTATTATTTATCTACTTTTCAGCAAGTTAATGTACTGAAGACTCGGTCCTGTCTCTTACCAGAAGCTAAAGCCCCAATTCCAAATCTTAATTCATTAGTGTGTCATGGCAGCATAATACAAGAAAATCTAGACCTCGGAGTCAAATTCCAGCTCTATAGTTTACTGACTGGTTGAGTGGCCTTGAACAAATTATTTAACTTCTCTGAACCCCAGTTTCTTCATCTATGAAATAGGGGAAATTCTTACCTTGCAAGACTTGCTATGAGGCCCTATATAAAGTTTAGTATACTACTTAGCACACAATAAGTGCTCAATAAATGATAGCTATTACTATGACACTTAAAAAAAATAAACTTGTCTAACTTCATGATATGCCTTACCATTGCATTTCATTCCAAAATTTTCACAAGTCTTAATCATTTCTAACAAGCTATACAAATTGGGAAATCTTATTTCATCTTAGTTTTTAAAAATAAATTTAAAATGGGAAAAGAACAGTCATCGAATAATAAGATAAACATGAAGCTCCCCAGAAAATACATACCAGCTTCAACTGCAAACACATTTCCTCTTTCTGTTTTAGGCAGAAGTTCAGTACGCTCTTTATTGGTGACAGGAAATCTCTGAATTAGGCTCCTAACAGCATGTTTTGTATTATGAGTCAAATTACAGGTCATCATTGCATGAGCTGTTTCTGATCCATCTTTCTTCTTCACAGTTAGGTATCTATTTGCTCCCTTTCTGAATATTAATAAAAATCATTTACTTACTATATAAAGTCAATTTGTTCACATATGATATATGCCTACTTAGAAAACACATCTCAAGCAAAACATTGAAAAAATCAAAATGCTTTAGGAGGAGATTCTGAAAATCCTAAAAAATTCAACTAAAGAGGGGTGTGGTGCTAAAGTAACCACAAGACCATTTTCAATTAAAATTTCCAAATGCTGCAAATCCAATTTTAAAATAGCAAAAATGGCTTACTTACCCAAAAGTGCTAAAGTCTGTCTTAGCAGACTTCATGGTGTATGAAACATCAACAGTTAATACATGCTGGGAAGCATACAGAGGGAGAAAACAACAATTGGAACAACAGAATCTAAAAACGATAATAAAAAAGTCATGGTTCACTCTCCAGGCTAATATATCCCACTGAGTGTTTCCACAGTATGTTGGTAATGTCACACTCCCATGAAAACCTGTTAAGAGAGCCAAGTTTAGTGGTTGGACCAAAAAAGCATAAATCAGCATTACCGATGAGTATTTTCAGATGTATATTTGGGGAAAATTTTTTTTCAAGCTTCTGGCTCTAGCCTTCAAATATAAGGTAATGATGATTTATAACTGTTCTCAAATTATTTGATGTAGGTATATTTATTTCTTCAACTGGTCTAGGACTGACGTTAATTAAACACACAGAAAGTTTTCAAATGTGTTTTGAATGATTTAATAATGCATGTCTATAATATAGTTCAAAGTAGTACTGGTAAAGATCTCAGGCTCTGAAAGGTTTGAATCCCAGCTGTGGGACCATAGCATATTATTTAATAGCTCTGAGCCTAAGATAATAATATCTGCCTCAAAGGACTATTAATATTATTAAATAAGATAATGAATGTAAAGGGTAATATCTGTTCCGAGTAAGTGCTAAATAAATGAAAGCTATTATTATAATTATATTTATAGTGAGGAGAAAATAGCATTTCTTATATTTTTTAAAAAAATACCCAAAATATTTGATAAAATGCTTTACCATTTGCTAATGTCATTCTCACATTATAGAAATGAGCAACATAGCCACACATACAATGAAAATTACATGTATAATTTTCCTAATTTTCATTAGATTTAAAGTTTTTCAACAACATCTGCACTGCAAGAATGATATAAAACTGGGGACCAACCTCTACCGTTTTAGCTATCTAAGCCTTCCAAAAGGGAGGCTTTCAATTTAACAAGGTTTTTGATTTCTGGAATGCTTTCTATGCTGTGATCTACTCCTGAACAAGTGCTTAGTGATGCTTAAATGATGGCATAAAAATGAAATAATTAAATTTAACCCGATCTAGAAATTTTAGTTATTTCCATGATAAATTGGAATTATTGGATTCTACAGATGATTTCAGTACTAGATTCTTTTTCCATGGACCATTCCAAAACTTCAGCACACTTGCTATAGACTCAATCATTCATTCCCCTCTGTGTCATTTACTTCATAAAACTTTAACTACAGAAGGCAGGACGTATGCTGAAATGAGCACTAGAGAAAGAGTTAGGAGGCTTATGTTCAGCCAGTAATAATCTTTCAACTAACTAGTTATATGATAAAAAATAAACCACTGTACTTCTCTGACAATGAATACTAGTTAATTTTAAAATTTCTACTATTTCTATCAGCTCCAAGATGTTTTAATTTTCTTAAAAATCATCTCAAAAAATTTTTCTATATTTCACCTTTAACTAATTTTCTTTTATTCATTAATTGAATCATTCATCAAATATTGAGCACCTACTGTCTACCAGGCATGATGCTAGAAGCTGGGATAACAAAGACAAATAAAACGCACTATTTCCTCAACAAGTTAACAGCTAAAATAATGAGTCAGACTGAAATTTTCCTAGTAAAAATGCATAAAAATAATAATATAGCATTTATGTATAAAACTAATTTTATAAAATTATTTATATATACTGGGGGTGCCAAAAAAAAAGGTATACACATGTCTTGTATTCATCTTTTGTTGTCAGTATATATTATTACAATTTTAATAGTTTTTTCTTTCTTGAAATATGTACACATTTTTGGTACCCTCTGTGCATAAATATATACACACATAATATACATAAAAATTTATGTATAAAAATAACTCATACTAAGCAGGTGTGAGTACTTAGCCATTACCATTTAAAATTTACTGAATTCAGGGCCGGCCGAGTGGCACATTGGTTAAGAGCTGGCTTGGAATGCCAGAGGGCCTGGGTTCGGTCCCACATAAGAGGGCCAGTGACACTGCCCTCCACAGCTAAGATGCTGAACAACAGCTCAACCTGGAGCTGGGCTGCCATGAGTTGCCGGCCATGGCATAGGCTGCAGCCCCTGCTGCAGTGGGTTGCCATGGGCTACCATGTGTAGCCAGCAGCCAGTGTGAGCGGCCAGCAGCCGCAGTGAGCGGCCGTCCAAAAGCTGGCAACTGATGTGCCTCGCCCAGGAAGAGCGCAGTGATGGCGCCAACTTGCGCCAGTGAAGCAACGTCCTCCACGACTAGACCGAGGAACAAGAGGACAGCGGCTTGTCTGTTCCCCTTCCCCCAATTCCCCAGCACTGTTCCCATCCCCCAATTCCACAATGAAAGATCTTTAAAAAAAATTTTTTTTTTAATAAATAAAATAAATAAAATTTACTGAATTCAGTTTGAACACAGATGGTGGAGTAGCAAAGTAACATCAACTTCATAGTTTCAATGTTTTAGTAAGATTCTACTTTTGGCTATTAGTGCTCGTTCCTAGCACATTCAGCAGCACAGTGATAGTGATATATAATAAAAAGATTAGTGAAATTTTTCGTAAAATATTCACCTTTTTGATGTGAGGAAGGAAACATTCAACACTGTAGAGATTTTTCCTACTGTGTAATTTAACACATTAAGATCGCTTCTTTATGCTTTCATTCCAAAGTAACTACACTAAGTTTTGATGAAAACTATAAGTCTTCTTTACAAAGCAAAATTAACTAGAAACTAGCTGTAAGATGTGCAAAAGGTGCTAGAAGTTCACATGAACTTCTTAAAATAAAATACAAGCCCCAAATGCAATTTTTAAGTATAAAAGTAAACATACTAAAATTACAGTAAAAACATCATAACTTCTAACTTTGAAGGGTCAAAATAATCAATACATGCTTTAATAACATTTTGGCATCTCAAAGTCTTCTTCCTTTTAAAAAATGATATAACTAATCAAATCTGATGCAATTTTAATATTTAGACATTTACACAGCATGTTACTGAATATTTAACTCAAATACAACTATATGCATCACTATTCCCCACTTCCCAAATCTGTAAACAGTTTAAAAGATCACCTAAAGAGCCAAAACCTGAAATGAGTACTTAAAAAGCTCACAGCCACCAAAGAGCTAATGTCTCTAAAAATATATATACACTTTTATTTGATGCTAGTAATGCTTAATTTCATATCTCCTTAATTTATACTTCTGTTAGGCAAAAACATGAAAAGTTCTAACTCCAAACCATTTTCTCTCCAATACTATAATACAGAATTGCAAGTTTATGAAAGTTTGCATATTAATTTGTACTTTTTAATGATTACCTAGAAATTAATAAACCAACCAATTAACTTTGTCACTAAGCACAGTTGCTTTCATGTCATGGACATTATGTTTGTGGTAAATTTGTTCTTTCTCTGACTTCTCACATCTCCCAGTACATTACTATGGACTCACTGTGAACACCAAAAGTTAACGTTCTAATCTTGGCTCTGCCACTTGCTAGCTGTGTGATCTCGAGAAAATTACTTAACCTATCCAAGCATAAATTGCTTCATCTGTTATACATGTACCAAACATTAATAATAAGAACCTACCAGGTAAGATTATGTAAGAATTAAATGAAATCTACTTAAAGCACCTAGCACATTCCTGTTGCACGATAGTCCTTAAAAAATGTTAGCTTCTGGCCGGCCGAGTGGCTCAGTTGGTTAAGGGCTCGCTCAAGAGTGCCAGCTCTGAGCAACAGCAGTTCAATGCCCAGCCTGAACTGAGGTGCTGCTGAGCTGCCAACAGGCAGCAGAATGGCTCAGCTAAAAAAAAAAAAAAAAAAGTTAGCTTCTGTTATTATTACTATTGAGCACCGTAAGCTTTTTCTTTTCATGGGTGTCCAAAAATTCACTGAAAGTGTTCATCACTTTTAACCCATTTTTTCCTATTTTATCTAGGGGAAAATAAAGGGAGTGCAGTATGCAACCTTCCAAGGCAAAAGGCAAGAGAGGCAGTAACCCAAGTCTGAAAAGGGGGCTTTCCTGTAGGGTAGAGCCTCCTGGTCAGGGTGAGTTGAGCACTTGGATACCTATTAAGCAGTGAGTTCAGCAATCAGGATAAGAAACCTATACTTGGAAAACTTTTTCATATACTTCGTATTTTCTCTTCCACAAGTTTTTAACAAAGTTTATTTTGTAACTTTCATTTTGTCTAACTTGGCCTAACAATAAAAAGAGATTTTGTTATGTTCATGTACAAGTCTAAGACTCAGAAAAGTGAGCTCTTAAAACCAAAACACAGTGACCTCATTTGAAGAAATAGGAAACAAATTTTAAGGAGGTGAAATTTTTGGTATGGAAAAACTTGACTAGAATACGAAAGAAAATTTTAGGATATACGTAAAGAACACAAAATGGATGTTACTCCAGCAAGAGTATTTTCACCAACAGATGAGCAATAATAAAAAATGATCAACTGCAAAGTAAATTAAGCTCTTTAGAGGAGACGAAAAACAAAATCCAACACATATGGTTTCATTTTGAAAAAGGGTGATAAAAAAAGAGAGGGGGATCAGAGAAAAAAGAAATCGCACAATGTGATATATAGGTGATGTATTACAGAACTGTACACTTGAAGCCTATGTAATTTTACTAACCATTGTCACCCCAATAAATTTTAATTAAAAAAAAAAAGAAAAGAAAAAATCACACAAATTATCACACAGTAAGCCTAGAATCTATTTTTTAAAACCTTGGAAGAAACTCAAAATAAAAACTATAGAATCACAGAATCTTAACTAAAACAAGGTTAACTCCTTCCTATTTTAGATTCAAGAAAACAGGCCTTTGGGCCGGCCGAGTGGCGCGTTGGTTAAGAGCTGGCATGGGACGCCAGCTCTGAGCAGCAGGGCCCCGGTTCAGAACCCACATATGAGGGCCAGTGACACTTCCCTCTACAGCTAAGATGGTGACCAACAGCTCGACCTGGAGCTGGGCTGCTGTGAGTCGCCGGCGATGGTGTAGGCTGCAGCCCCTGCTGCAGTGGGCTGCCGTTAGCTACCGTGTGTGGCTGGCAGCCAGCGTGAGCTGCCATGGGCCACAGTGAGCAGCTGTCCAATGGCTGGCAAGCAACATCCTCACCTGGGAAGAGCATAATGATAATACCAACATGAGCCAGTGAAGCAACGTCCTCCACAACTAGACTGAAGAGCAAGAGGACAGCAACTTGTCTGTTCCCCATCCCCAATTCCCCAATAAAAAAATCTTAAAAAAAAAAAGAAAAAAGAAAAGAAGGCAGGCTTTTAAAGCATAAGGGAGGGCTGGCCAAGTGACGCATTGGTTAAGAGCTGGCTTGGGACGCCAGAGGGCCCCGGTTCGGATCCCACATAAGAGGGCCAGTGACACTGCCCTCTACAGCTAAGATGCTGAACAGCAGCTCAACCTGGAGCTGGGCTGCCCTGAATCGCCAGCGAAGGAGTAGGCTGCAGCCCCTGCTGCAGTGGGTTGCCATGGGCTACCGTGTGTATCCAGCAGCCAATGTTAGCTGCCAGCAGCTGCAACGAGAGAAGCTGGCGACTGATCTGCCTCGCCCGGGAAGAGTGCAATGATGGTGCCAACTAGGGCCAGTGAAGCAACGTCCTCCACAACTAGACTGAAGAACAAAAGGACAGCAACTTGTCTGTTCCCNCCACAACTAGACTGAAGAACAAAAGGACAGCAACTTGTCTGTTCCCCTTCCCCCAATTCCCCAGCGCTGTTCCCATCTCCCAATTCCCCCAATAAAAATCTTTAAAAAAAAAAAAAAAGCATAAGGGAAATGACCAAAGCTAGAGAACAAAGCAGTGAGAGACTGAGAGTAGAATCAAGGTTTCCTGCCCTTTCTTCCACACATCCAGGTTCTCTCTCAAACATGTATTAAGGAACCATAATACCAGGCACAAAATAAAAATCAGGCAAACTAACTTGCTAAATTAATGAAGTTAATGCTAGGAGGTAAAAAAAAAATGTTTACTCAAGAGTGAACAGAAAAACCCATGAAGTATAACTCAGGTACAAATTCTCAAATAAATGAAAAGGATTTAAGGAGTATATTCAAAGAGATTTAGTTCTTTATATATGTGAAAAAGAAAAATGCATTAGAAAATCACAAGGACCTCTAGACAAACATTGTACTAAGTTTGCTCGAGGATAAAAAGGGGAGGAAAAGAGCTAGGAAATTTCTTAAGAGGTATTATGGAGCACTAGATATTGGTATTAGGGAGTGGATAAGTAGGCAGGATTGCCTTGCTTCCCTTAGCATCTCTTTCCTTTTTCCTCTTCAATGTCTCTTCAATGTTTCCTCATTCCCCTTTTTTGTCCTGATAACTTCTTTTGTGCTCTCCCCTTCCCCACGTTTCTCCATTCAGGACCACCCCTTAAATGATCATGCTACTGAACAGAAGCAGAGGTAGTCCATTCTAATAAACTGCTTTTCTAAGAGTAATTCCTAATTGTCATTTCTAAGTCAATTGTTCAGAATTCAAAATCTCATTTAACCACAGAAATGATATAGCTACAGAACTGTGCATTTATAATAGATGTTGTCTAGTGCAAACCCACAACCTCTTATCTGCAACACTTAAACCCAAACAGCTCTGAATGATTTTTATAAGTTTGCAGCAATTTCAATTGGCAGCAAAGGCAACTTAAATTGACATGAGACTATTTCTAGTCTTTATTTATCTTAGTGTGACTATTCATATTTCCCAGTAGAAATATTAATGCAACTAAAGGTGATGCCTGTACCTTACTGGTATTACGTAACATATCGCAAATATACCCTAATAACTTTCTAAAATCTCAAAACATATTTGGGCCAGGATTATAACCCTGTACTCTATTTTTAAGTGCAGTACTTTTCCTATCCAGAGGACTATAACATGGGCATGCTCAGGAACCTAACCACTGTTCCAGCACTGGCCTCAATGACGTTCAAAATGCACATTCATTTAAGCTAAATCCTCTGTCAGGAATGTATTGCTGCCACCATTTATATGTAAGACATTCTTATATCAGCTACTTTCATTTAGAATGTCCCTGCTATTTATTTATTAATATGTTTATTTAATAAAGTACTGTTTTCCTTCCTCTTAATATAAAAACTAGTAAGCTGAAATTTTATCTTTTCCCCCACTTCTCAGTGATTATCAACCAGGGGCAATTTTGCTCCCCAGGGAACATTTTAGCAATGTCTAGAGGCATTTTTAGTAGTCACAACTGGGGGTGAAGATGTAACAGGCATCTATAGGGGTAAAGGCTAGGTCTGCTGCTAAACATTCTACAGTGTACAAAGCAGCCCTCCACAATAAAGACTTATCCAGTCCAAATGTCAATAGCATCAATACTGAGAAACCCTGCTATATGTCAGTCCTACCATCTTCAGTCCCAAAATGAAATAGTTCCATAGAATTTTAAGAGTTCTTCAATTTGGATGGCTCAAATTACCTTTCCCCACTATGGATTGGTGACTCAAAAAATATGTAGTTTCCTCCTGTTCCATTTTACTAAATCATTTCTAATCATCAGATTCTTGAGTTGGTAAGAAAGAAAACAAAGAGCATGTGTTCTAAAGCTTATCATTACAGTACAGTAACATTAAAAGAGAGAAGTTCTGTTAATAATTATACTTATTATCTTTAGTTCATTCATTCTTTAAAAAAAATAGATTGATTTAGTTTCTATGAAAAAAAGAAAACATTTCTCTCAAGCAAGCAACTTCAACTTTTCAGCTATTTTTTTCTTACATCTTAAAATATTTTTTTTTTTTTGCCCCTGGGGGAAAAGGAAATAGCTGAGTTTGGTACAGACATGAATCAATTTATCTATATACAATATAACTAAGGATGTGAATCTACAACACTAATAATTATTTAAATGTAGTCCAAAACATTTCACTTTCTTTGGTAAATAATTTTTTAAGAAATAAGAAAAGCTATCTGCTTACCCTTTACTTTTAGAGACCAAACCAAGAGACTGACTCAATCGATGAATAAAGGCTCTTTCAGTACTGGTCAAAGAAGAAGGAAATTCCATTTCTACAAGGGAAAAAACACAAATACCATTTGGGGATAGGCAATTTTCTTTGAAGGTGCTTCAATATGCATACTTAGATATAACATGTGAAAAAAAATCATATAAGCATATAATCAAATTTATTATATTTAATGTAAAAAGTAGGTAGTAATTCAATAACTACTGAACGTCTACTAAAGTTATATTAATAAAAATTACACCTAAATGTGACAAAGGACTCTAATGTTCGCCAAAGATTACTCTTCTTGTGCTGGAATATTGAGTTGGTGTGATGACTAATGAACATGTTTTACTATTTTCAGTTCTTGCTTGCTTAATGAACAAAATGTTTATTTCCTTCCATAATGAGATATACTCAAGCACTATGAAAGCTCAGCATCAAACTCCATTGTCTTTACCTTCAAAACTGTACAGACTTCGTATTCCACTAACTCAGACTACATTTGTTGTTATATATTTCTGAGGCTGTACCTTTGTTTAAAGTAAGTTCGGAACCACCATCCAGTCATTCCCATTTTGGGACTGTAAGCTTCCAGAGTTCGGCGTCCCCTGTTTAGGCCAGCAAATCGGAATGAGCTCCCGATATACTGTACTGATGTCGAGGCCAGCTGCTGGGCCTGCACCCAGGACGTTTCATACACCTAAACAAGCTTATTTTTTTTAAGTGTTCAGCGTGATACTTATAGGATGTAATAAAGCACTACATATTGCCACTGCCTTTTCTTATCTGATTTCCTTTAGCATGTCTACTCTGTAGCTTAAACATGACTCACTTAACTTCCTTTAAGGAAAAAACAAACAACCAAACAAAAACTAGGGGCTTATCAATACTTAAACACTGTGGCTTTGCAGAAAAGCCCTTCCCTGGGGAAAGGAGCGCCCCCTGCCAGGGAGCCACCTGACATCTCACCTTCTGAAGCCACGCAAGAGTCCCGCAAGCCTGCTGATTAGCAGGACGCGGCGCGGCTCTTTACAACCCCACGGGAAGGCTTCCAAATGCGGCCCAGGGCCCCGTCCCGACCGAGGCCGGCTCGAGTGGGCCGGGGGCGGGGGGCCGGCCAGGTCTTCCCTCCCTCCTCTGGGGCAGCCCCTTCACACTGGCGGGTCAAGGTCTGGAGAGGTGGGCAGCCGGCGGGGTCACTGACAGGAACCTCACCTCTCTGGTCCCCATATCGGAAGCGCTCCAAAGCGATATTGACTGCGATCTTCACCTCCTCGTCTATACGAATGTCCTTCAGCCCCTTAGCCCGACCACCGCCCCGAGGGCCACACTGAGCGGGGCCGCCCCCGCCGCCGCCGCCAGGAGCCGGCGGCCGCGGGGAGACGCTGCTCGGCCGGGACATGGCCCTGAGGCCGTGGTCACCGTGCGGAAGAGCGGCCAGGCCTGCTGGCTGACGGGCAGTGATAGGGACAGCAGGCCTCAGGGGCCACTGCCGGGACCGGACGTCTCCACAGACGGCCCGTGCTGGACCGGAGTCACCAAAAAGCCTCGCGTTTTCTCACCACAACAGCCTCGAAGGCGCCCTCCGCACTAAAACCCCGGGCGAGGCGGAGAGAGCGAGCGTGATGACGTAACCAGGGCCGCCTGCGCTCGTGATCTCAGCGCGTTGGCCGCCCTTCACCTCCCGGCAGCTGCACATCACTGGAAAGCTCCCCACTAAGCTGACCCTGCGGTTCTCCTCCGGGCTCCAGCCGCCCCACCGCACCAAGGGGCTCTCGTTCGTACGTTTATTCAACCACTCATTACTTTGTTAAACCCTTCATTAATTCAGTAAGTACGGGTTGGCTCCTACTGTGTGCCCAGCAGGCACTAAGCTATATGCTCTAGATATGCAATACATCGGGGACCCAAACAGGCATGGTTCCTAACCTCTTGGAGTTTACATTCTAGTGGGGGTAGGGTTGCCAGATTTAGCAAATAAAAACACAAGAGGCCCAATTTATTTGAATTTCAGATAATGAATGATTTTTTTTTTTTAGTAAATGTATGTCCCATGCAATATTTTGGAACACGTTATTCGTTACCTGAAAAGCAAATTAACCGAGAGTCTATTTTATCTGCCAATCCTAAATGGGAATGACAAACAACAAATAAATGATTAAGTGACAATTATAAGTGCTATATGAGATGATGGAATAGGAAGGTGGAGCCATTCGATTTGGGTGGTGAAGGAAAATTATGAGAATTTTCACTTGCGTACAAATCCACTTACAAAAACCTAATCCCAGCCACCCTCACTGCTTCCACTCTGGTTTTCCTATGATCCATTCTCCAGACAGTAACCAGAGTGATCTTTTTAAAAATATATGTAGGGCCCACCCAGTGGCTCAGTTGGTTAAGAGCTCACTCACGAGTGTGAGCTCTGAGCAACAGCGGTTAGAGTCGTGCCGGAGCTGAGCTGCCACTGAGCTGCCAACAGGTGGCAGATTGGCTCAGCTAAAAAATAATAATTAGGTAAATGACACTCCTACATATAGCAATCCAATAGCTTCCCACCGCAACTATAAAAAACCCTTAATTCCTTACCGGAACCTTCATGACCCTCCCGGATCTGGCCTCTGCCTACCCCCATGAATCTAATCTCTCAGCACTCTCATCCTCACTTACAGTGCTCAAATGCACTAATTTCTTTATGTCTGCTGGACACACCAAGCTCATTACAGTCAGGGGAACTTTCCAACTGCATGGTTTCCTCCTGCACAGGACAATCTTCCTCCCAGGACTTCATCCAAGTATGGGCCCTCTTTCTCATCAGTTAAGGCAGGATACCATCCCTTAGCTGGACAGGCTCTCCCACATCAACCTGTTATCATTTACCACTGTTTGAAATTATTTTGTTTGTTTATTATTTGCTCTTCCCACTAGAATATAAGCTCCTTAAGAGCAGGAACCTTGTTTATCTTGTCACTGTTCAGTCAGCAGCTAGGATTGCATAGACACACAAGAAATATTTATGGCTTGGCCTTATTTTAGAATCTGGAATTAGGTTTGGTTGTCTCTAGAACCTCTAAAAACTTTCTTCTGTTTCCTTGAGCTCTTAATCTCTTCTGTTGGCTACTAGAAAGAGTTCTGGATAAGCGGAAATAAGTCCTATATTCTGGTCCTTTCATGGTTACCAGTAAATTGTGTAAACATTTACTACTACCTTGATCTCTGTGTATCCTAATTTTCTTAGCTGTAAAATAATGCCTGCCATTTATTAAGTGTCCAGAGGCACTGTCTATTTTCCCAATCCTCATAAAACCATATGAAGTAGTTATATTACCTCATGGTATAAATGAGAAAACAGGCTGGATGAGATTAAAACTGGCCCAAGATCACCCTACTGGTAATTAATAGGGCAGGGATGAAAACCAGCCCCAGCTGGTCGTGAAGCCCAGCTTCATTACACGACAAAACATAGATAGTAGGTAATAGCTGGATGCACCAAATACTATATTGTAACAAGACTGAAAACATTTTACATGGGGTCAGCAGCCACATACTGCTTTCAATCTCGCTTCATAACTTCTTAGTTCCACCATTTATTGGTTCCATGATTTATTATTGGCTTTGTGTCTTGACTACTTATTTTGCCTGCTGAGCATCAGATTTCCTATCTGTAAATGGATATATTTAATACTCGTTTTATAGAATTGCTGGAAATATATAAGTATCAAGCATTGATTTAAAGTTATGCTTCTTTCCTTCTTTCCTTTCGTTTTGGATAAATGCCTAAATGTTTGTATTCCTAGCATCTAATAAGAATAGGGAATCTGTTCATTAAAATAAAAGAGAATACTTGCCTAAAGTTACATAGGAGTAAATTATAAGGTTAATCAGATTGCATATTATCTAATATTTTTGCATACCCCTGGAAATTTCTGGGTGCTTAGGGTAAAACACTGCCATTCTACCTTTTACAAGTGCTTCAGAGAAAAATTAAAATAGGGAATTATTTCAAGTTATCTTTAGTGTCAAGTAGACCTAAAGTTTTAATCTTTGTTTTTACCACTTTGTAGTTGTGAGGCCTTGTGTAAGAATTTAACCTCCCTATGCTTTAATTTCCCCATCTGTAAAATGTGTATAATCTAACACCTATATCACAGTGTTATTATGGGGATTAAATTAGACTATATTACCTTTATGCAGATGAAGCGCTTAGCACAATTACTGTTTCATCCTTAGCATTCAGTACTAATTAAATGCTTTTGACTTCAAGTAAAAGAAAACCAAGCAAAAAGGGCCCAAAATAAGGACATTTATCATCTTATATAGCAAGAAGTCTAGGGGTAGCATGGTAGCAGAGTTGGTTGTTTTAACATTGTACACCAATGCCCTCACCCATCCAGCATCTGTCCGGCTTACCACTCTGCCATCCTTTAAATGTTTGCCACTCTCCTCTTATGGTTGCAGCTCCAAGTAAGCACATCATCACACAGCACGAAATAAAGGCAAAAAAGGTAAGTTCCCCTTGTCTGATGCCCCATTTTAAGAGAGAAAATCTTTTTCAGAAGTCCCAGAAATAGACATTCTTATGTATTCTAGCCAAAACATGGATAACACATTAACCAGGAAAAAGGAATGGGATTACTATGAAAGGTCTGGTCTTTCCTAAAGCAGTTGGTCACCTAGAAGAGAGTGAACAAAACTGGAGTTCTTCTGGCAAGTAATAAAGGTAGGCAACCGAGGATATTATAGTTGTAAACAGTGATGTTCACCAAATATTTCTGGTATTCTTACTTCCAGATATGTAACAGAATTGTAGTTTCTGGCCCCCTTATAGTTGGGTGGGAATATATAATTAGTTCTGATTAATGAGTAGTGAGTTGAAGTGACATATGTCACTGTCATGTTGACCTCACTTTTCACTGTAATTAGCTACAAATAACTAGCAAAACATGTATAAGAAAGTGAGTTTTTCTAATTGATTTTAAAAACTACAAAAGACCATTGCTGAGAAAAATTAAAGACCTAAATGAATGAAAACATACTGTGTTTTATGGTTCAGGGGACTCAATAGTATTATCAATTCTCTTCATATTGGTCTATAAGTTCAATACAATCCTAATCAAAATCCCAGCACAATTTTTTTCTAAAAAATTAACAAGCTGATGCTTCATATAGAAATGCACTAGAATAGCCAAAACAACTTTGAAAAAGAAAAAAGTTTGAGGACTAACACTACCTGATTTAAAGATATATTATAAAGCTAAATTCAACAAGACAATGTGGTATTGACATAAAGATAGACAAATAGATCACTGGAACAGAATAGAGAACACAGAAATAGACCCACACATATTTGGAAAACTTATTTTCAACAAAGGTAAAAAAAAAAATCAGTGAAAAAAAGACGGCCTTTTCAACAAATGGTGCTTGAACAATTGAATGGACAAATGCAAATAAAAATTTTAAAACCTCAAATCTTACCTCACCTGATACACAAAAATTAACTCAAAATGGATATAAGCCTTACCTAAATGTAAGAGCTGAATCTATAAAACTTGTTAGAAAAAAAGCATAATAGAAAATCTTTGTGACCTTGGGTTAAACAAAGATTATTTTAGATATAAAACCAAAAACACAAGCCATAAAAGAAAATAATTGATAACTTGTATTTCATCAAAGTTTAAAACTTTTGCTCTTTGAAAGATATTGTTAAAAGAATGAAAAAATGAAGCACAGACTGAGAGAAAAAATTTGCAAATTATATATCTGAGAAAAGACATGTCCAGAATATATAAATAACTCTCATGCACTGTAATAAGAAAACAACCCAATTTTTTAAATTGGCCAAAGTTTAAATAGACACTTCACCAAAGAAGGTATACAGATGCCAAATAAGTACATTAAAAGATGCTAGCTATCACTAATCATTAGAAAAATGCAAATTATACAAAGAGATACCATGACATATGTATTAGAATATCTAAAATTAACTGATTTTACCAAGTATTGGAGAGGAAGTAGAGAAACTGTAATTCTCATACACTATTAATGGGAAAGAAACCACTTTGGAAAAAACTTCAACAGTTTCTTAAAAAAATAAAACACAGTTATCGTAAAATCCATCTATTCTATTCCTAGGTATTCACCCAAGGAAAACGAAAGCGTATGCCCATACAAAGACTAGAACACAAATGTTCATAACAGCTATATTTATAATAGGCAAATCCTAGAAAGAATCCAAATGCCCATCAGCAGGTGAATGGATAAATAAATGGTGATCTGTGCATATAATGGAATACTACTCAACTATAAAAAGAATGAACTATTGTTACACACAGCAACATGGATGAAACTCAAAATAATTATGCTGAATGTAAGCAATCAGACAAAAGAATACATACTACATAATTCCATTTATGTAAAACTCTAGAAAGTGTAACTAATCTACAGTGACTGAAAGAGATTGAGTAGTTGCCTGGGGATAGGCTGGAGAGAAAGGGATTTCCAAGGGGCATGAGGAAAGTTTTGGGGGTGATGGACATGTTCATTACCTTATTTTGGTGATGGTTTCACATGTGTATACACATATCAAGACTTTTCAAATTGTACATCATGAATATGTGCTATTGTATTTCAAGTATACCTTAATAAATTTGTTTTTTAAAATAACCCACAAGAACTTGAGGCTATTAGATTTTCTCATGAGGTATAGGTATATTTTTTTCCTCCTTTATAAAAGTTATTCTGGGACCTCTGGATAGACAGTTATTACGTGATCTTTGATGTTTTAAATTGAAATGTAATCTAGCCCAATTGGCATGATCAAATGTTCTGTATTAATTAAATATTTTGTGATACAAGGCATTAATTAACAGGTTTGTTTAGCTCAGATAATTAATTTGTCTAAAGTAAATATGTCTTATTTTGCACAAGAAAATATCAGATACAGTTATGCTAAAAAGGGAGAGTAGACTATCCTAATTCCCAGAAGATGCATTACAAACTTTATAAGGTATCAGGAAGTAAGCCACAGAAAACAATTGTCTTCTCCACTGAAGCAGAAAAGACCATACTACCCCCAGTACATTTATATCAAATTTGAATTGGCAACTCAATATCAAATAGTAATTGTCATCCCATCCCACCATGTGAGTTAGTCACTTTCTTAGAGGGCTGAACATGATGTCATAGAGTTACAAATAATGATAATTTGGAAACTAAAAACCAAAAAACCCAACAAACAGGCATACATACATAAATACTCATATATTTATTTGTCTTAAAGACTGAAGTGGAAAAAAATATTCCAAATTGAAACTTTAAATCTAAATCTACTTATTACATTTAATTTTTGGTGTTTCCCCATTTACTTCATTATTTACATATTAAAGTATCTCCTAACAAAATTGTGTTCAGCTCTGATTAGGTAATATGATTTAATTGAAAGAAATCTAGCCACTTCTTAGGTTTTACAAGTCATTTAGTCCTCTAGATTAGTACTTCCCCAAAATTTTCACCTCCTGTCACACGTAGAAAATAACAATATTTGCAGAGAACCCTGGGTATGGCAAAGAATGCTAGTGCTCAGAAATTTTCATGTTTCTTCTCTTCTTTCTGAGTACAATACTAGACTACATTTTCCCCATATTCCCCTATGTTTTTCAAGGCCCTATTTTTGCCTTGAAATGGTGACACCATATGGCTAAGTTCTGGCCAATGGAACATGGACAGAAGTGATTTACACGACTGCTCCTGTGATTCACCCTCTCCTCTAACCTACAACCAGATGTTGGGGGAATTACAATAAGGAAAGAGGGAAAGCCAGAATGAGATCTTTGCTGTTGGATTGTAATTAGCTGTGTCTGTATGATCATGGGTTTTAATATATGTATACAGCTGGATAAAGAAATAGAAATAAATGTGTACATATGTACTTATGAATATAAATACTGAGAGGACCTAGAAGCAATGACACCCCAATAGCATTCAGACAGATAAGGACAAATACTGCATGGTATCATATGTGGAAAGTGCAAGAAAAAAAAAAGTCAAACCCATTGAACATTGAAATAGAGAGTAGAAAAGTGATTGCTAAGGGCTGGGGGTAGGAGAAATAGGGAGACTTGTAGGAGGAACAAGTCATGTACTAACATGTCAGTGAGTCACTAAAAAGGATCTCAAGCCCTGCTCTCCTAGAGGAGAATAAAACAAAAACTCCAATGGTTTGGGAGATCCTAAAACAGAATGACATGTACTGCCCAGAGAGGCAGCCCAAGGAAAGAATGGTGGTGTGGTGTGTCTAGGTAAAGGGGGTCAGTGTGGTGTAGAGCAGTAGAGGATTATTGGTGCCCAAGAAGTGTTCAGAATATACAGCAGAGATAGACACCAGACCTGAAGGTGTCTTATAACTAGGAGTAAAGCAATAAAGCACTCGGAAGTGGCCTATGTTGTTTGACAACCAAGGGTCAGAAACTCCTTCCCACACTTCTGATGACTTGACACCTCTTAAGTCCTCCAGATTTACAAGCAAGCCTCGGGGTGGACTAGGTGGCTCCCAAATAACTGAGATTAAGTTAGTTACAGAGAAATTAAGTCCCGCATATCTGAATCTGTAGAATGAAATTTATCCCCACTACCTGTAAGTAATTGTAAAATTTCTTCCAGATCTATCATTTGTTACATATGTAATTATATATATATATATATATATATATATATATATAATGCATATTTTGCTAATACATTGTGTATGTGTCTACCTACCTACCTACCTACATAATAATCAGTTTTAAATGTATATTAATAGGTTAGCCACAAGGTGGTACTAGAAAGCTATCTTTTATTTTAAGTCCTCCATCCTGAATGTCCTTGGTTTTAACATACAACTGAACTACTGTAATAACAGCAGTAATCATTGTAAAGGTTGAGATAACAGCAGTTGGGTCCATGTGAGCCAATGTCTGTATTTAAAAATCATAGAAACAGACTCTCTGGAGATGCTATGAACTAGTTCATATTCATTCTCTTTTTCTTACACACCATCATACCATCCCAATCATTACCCAAAACATGAAACCCTGTTATATTCAGCATTCATACAGAAAAATGTAAATAGACATGGTCTCTTAGGCCTTAGAGTTTAAAATGTAAATGAGTATTTTTACAAGATGTGTCTCAAAAAAATCTAGAATGCCCTTAAACCATTCCCCCAAACACTAAAGCTCAGCCCCCAAATGTGAACACAATAGGTCAGCAAATGCATTGTTTAATTTATTAAGCACTTGCTATCTTATGCTGGGGATGACTGAGGAGAGGAGGAAAAATCATCCTTTCTAGACAGCCTTGCTAGGTTTTTTTGTTGTTGTTTGTTTAAATACACGTAATTTTTAAGAGACACAAAATAAAAGAGGAATAACAGATTTGGAAAAGTTAACAGGGAAGAACTTTCTAAGCAAGGGGGTGATGTAGAAGCACCATGTCACAACCCTGAAGACCACTCACTGGGAACATGGAGAGGCAGGATGAAGGAAGCAAGGAAGAAAGCAGTGACCCCAGATGATCAAGCTTAGTCGAGTCTATTTTCTGGTAGCAGACGAAATTTATTTTACTGGGAAGTAGAGCCACTACATGGTTTTAAAGATAGGAGTGATATAAATAAATATGTCAGCTGGCATATACCCTTATAGATTTGTAAGGAAATCATGGTGTTAGAATGCCAGTCAAGACTAGGCTGTAAAAATCAAGTGTAGAAATGATGACACTTTAAGGATCTAACTGTGATTATAAAAAGAATCAGATGAAAATCTATGAGAAGATGCAGTAGAGTTGAGAGATTAAATGCCCCTGGGTTTCTCCCTTAGGAGACTGTTAAGAAGAACACAGATATGAAAAGAGAGTCTGTCTATTCATGGAGCCCTCTCCTGGGAACTCCCTCCTGAGGCCCTCTGAAGAGAAGAAAACATCAAAACCCTTCTGAAAGAAAAAGGTTTATCACCGAATATTTAATGTTTCCATTTTATTAAAGAATCCAGTTTTTAAAGGTTAGGCCAAATTTACCCTTCCATGTAGTTGAAGAAGAATTAGATACATTTCTCTATAGTTTGACAGTTTATTTACACCCCACAATATAATGTTTATTTTCTCCATGGCAAACTTAGTACTTTGTAAATATAATACTTTGTCTCTCACTGAAATTTTTCTTTAACATTTTCACAAGCAAAATCCTGGTAATCACTGAATCTGGGTGATAAGTATATGGGTATTCTTTGTACCAGTCTCTGTACTTTGGAATATTTTGAAAATGTTCACAATTAAAAAAAAATCATTAACAGTCTTACCAGCTCCAACACATATCAAGTTAGTAAACCTACTTCACAGGTCGGACAGGGTAAGAAAGAAGGTTTTTTGTTGTTGATTTTTTTGGTTTTTAGAAAATACAATCACCTTGTTTGAATGCATCATCTGAAAGTAGTCAACTTCATCCAAAAGTAGTAACCTCAGCAACAGCACCAGAAGAAAGACCAGCCTGCTGACCTCTGGGAGAGCAATAATATTTAAAAATGATCACTTGCCAGATGTTTTGGGGACTTGTCTTTCATGGCAAGTTGGCTCTTGGCTAACACTGACAGTGAAGGGAGCCATGTAACTGGAAGGAGATTGTATTAGTCAGCTCGAGCTGCTGTGACAAAATAACACAGACTGGGTAGGTTCAATTAGAAATTTGTTTTCTCACAGTGCTCGAGACTGGAAAGCCCAAGATCAATATCCGGCAGGATCTGGTTCTGGTGAGAGCTCTCTTCCTGGCTTGCAGACAGGTACCTTCTTGCTGTGTGCTCACATGTCCTTTTATTGTTATGTGAATGTGGAGAGAGAGAGCAAGGTTTTTCACATGTCCTCGTATAAGGGCACTAATCCCATCAAGAGGGCACCACCCTCATGACCTCCTCTAATTGGCCTTTCCTCCCAAAGGCCCCATCTCCAAACCCCCATCAACATGAATTTGGGGGGTGGGGGGCGGGGGGTGGAGCACAAGCATTCAGTTCATAACAGAGATGTGAGGGACTTCAGAGTCATGTGCTAAAATTCATGTGGACTCCAAGTGATTCTAGTCTCCCCAAATATTGTCTAATCTTAATCCTTTCATTATTCCCTTTCCTGTAAGAACTGGTGTGTTACTCGGGGTAGTGAAGCCCAAGAAACACTGGACTTACATCAGGGCTTTTGTACTCTTCTTTAGCCCCCTTCTCTTTTTCGGCCCACAAGACCTAACTAATGGACTATTTCCATAAAGTCTTAAATCAGTGTGAAGTACTGAGTAGTCTTCCAGGAGCATTTCCATTTTAATAAGGGAGTCTCAAAGAGAAAGAAACAAATCTCTTCTAGTGTAATTTCAGGAAATGCTATAGCTCATGAGAAGTTACCAAACTTGTGATTCTATCTCATTATGCTCTAAATCACCACATAGAAATAGTTACTACTCTCTCTGCCTGTGAGACTGACTCTTGTCAAAAAGTAGGTAATGCATGAGCAGAGGAAAATTCTGCCTTCCTGATAATTAGCCAATGTAATGGGTGAGTAAACCTTTAACTATGGCAAATAAATCATGGAATTTTAGAAATGGAAAGAACTGTTGGAATTCAACTGGATCATTTTACAGATGAGGAAATGAAAGTGTAGCTTAGCTGGGTGGATTGTCTAATACTGCATTGTTACTTGAAAACTCAAGACTAGAATACCTTTCTACTACACCATTTCACGTCAATGCTCCAGTTCTGCCTCATATCATTAGACATCAGGGTCTGCCTCTGGCAGCACACCCTCACTCTGGGTCTGTTAATGAGGAGGTAGATGAGAGGGGCCATTTCCTCACCAGCAAGACTTTAAATTCTTAGCCCTAAGCAAGCAATTCTACAGGCTTCCTGCTGTGTTGGGTCTCAAAGATTAGTTTGTAGATTCCTGTTAAAGCAAACCACACATGTTGAATTTGCCAGCTGTTGCCACCCCAATTTCTCTATTCATAATTTACAACATTGGGCATTTTCTAGGTAGGTACAGGTCTTATTGCCTCCTTAATGATCAAAGCACAGCAGAAATAATAAGCACAAGTCTCTTCTTACCTCCTAGGGAGCTGACAGATTTCCTAGAGAAATCTGTGGAGTCAATGGATAAATGCTGGATTTAATAAATTTTTCAGACACAAATCCACCATCCTTAGATTTCTTCCAATTTCCCTGTGTGACTATGGAAGATATGCCTCTTCTGCAGAGCTTTGTCTGCCTCAACTTCAGGGATTGGTTGTTGGGAGCTGCCAAGAATGTGGAAACTGTAGCCCATTCATTGCTTCCACGTAGGTTTGAGGCTATGGAGAAGAAGGTAATATCAGCCCTTGGGTGGATTAATAACAAAGAAAAATGTTAAAGGCAATCAGAGATATTGTGGAAATTTTCAAATACAAAGTAAACAGAATAGTATAATGTACCTATCACCCAGCCTCAACAGTCTGCCATTCCTGATCCTATACCTCAACATACTTCCCATACTTACTCAATTATTATCTTTAAAAAAATAGAGGGCCTGCCGAGTGGCTCATTGGTTGAGAGTTGGTTTGAGAGCGCAGGATCTGACTGGCAGGACCACCAGTTCGGATCCCACGTGGACCAGAGGCACTGTGCCCTCTGCAGCTTAGATGGTGAACAGCAGCTCGACCTGGAGCTGGGCTGCCGTGAGTGGCCAGCGACAACGTGGGCTGCAGTGGGGCTGCAGTGGGCTGCCGAAAGCTACCGTGAGTGGCTGGCAGACAGCATGAGCGGCTCTCAGCCGGCGTGAGCTGCTGTGAGACGCCATGAGCGGCCGTCCAAGGGCCGGCGACCAACTGCCTTACCTGTGCAATGATCACAATACCAACATGGGCCAGTGGGGCAACGTCCTCCACAACTAGACTGAAGAACAAAAGGACAGCAACTTGTCTGTTCCCCTCCCCCAGATCCCCAGTGAAGTTTAAAAAAAAAAAGAGAGAGAGAGATGTGTTTCTCACAGTTCTGGAGGTTGGAAGTCCAAGATCAAGGCGCCAGCATGGTCTTCTTTGGTGAGGGCCCTCTTCCTGCTTCAAAGCTTGTGCCTTCTTGCTGCATTTTCACATGGAGGAAGAGGTCTACCATTGTTAAAGTAAAATGTATATACACTGAAATGCACAATTTTTGGCTATATAATTGGAAAATGGACACACTTGTGTAACCCACGCCCCTATCCTCTCCTTTTGGGCACATTTAAAATATGTAAATTGGTAGATAAGAAAATAGTTACATGTTTTTAGCGTCTCTCGTTTCCAAATCCTGTACACTGTTATGGATGTTTCTCATTTGGAGAATTGTTCCCTTTAGCCTCTGTCCTCACATTTTAACACTGAAAAGTCAACCATTCCTCCCCCAATTTTGTTGCTGATACTGTCTCTGTTCATTGACTCCAGATTTCTGCCTAGCAACTTAGATTTGAGGATCCCAATGAGATTTCCAGTAATTTCTTCATTAGCTACTCCCATCTCAGATAAGAAGTCTGCTTCAACCCCTCCAAGGGCTCAGCAGCCCAGCTCTGACTGCTTTGACTGCTTTGCCTGCTGTGAGAGATAAATGGAGCAGTCCAGCCTTCTCTGCACCATCTAGAACTGAGAAGGGACATAGAAGAAAGAGAAATAAAATATGTTCTTTCCTGATCACCCCAAGTATGATGAAAAGAAGGTGAATAAAATGGAGAGAATTAAGAGAAATGCATCAGGACATTCCTGATTTTTAAAAAAATAAGGAAAAGAAGGGAGACAAGACGGCAGAATAGAGAAATGCTGTGCTCGCCTCCTCCTTTGACCACATTAAAATTACAACTAGATTATAGAACAATCAACCTGGAGAATCATCTGAAGACTAGCTGAACAGACGTCTTATAATTAAGGATATAAAAAAAGAAGCCACATAGAGACTGGTAGGAGGGATAGAGATGCAAAACAGGTCATGATCACTATTTGATGGTCTCCTGCCGACCTGATCCACTATAGCTTTCTAAATCCCAGTGAAACCATTACATCTGAGGAGTATGCTTAGCAAATCGATGAGATGCACCAAAAACTGCAATGCCTGCAGTTGGCATTGGTCAATAGAAAGCGTTCAATTCTCCACAACAATACCCGACTGCTCGTTGTACAACCAACGCTTCAAAAGTTGAACAAATTGGGCTACAAAGCTTTTTCTCATCCATCATATTCACCTGATCTCTCGCCAACTGACTACCACTTCTTCAATCATCTCAACAACTTTTTGCAGGGAAAACACTTCCACAACCAGCAGGATGCAGAAAATGCTTTCCAAGAGTTCATTAAATCCCAAAGCACAGATTTTTATGCTACAGAAACAAACTTATTTCTTGTTGGCAAAAATGTCTTGATTGTAATAGTTCCTATTTTGATTAATAAAGATGCATTTGAGCCTAGTTATAATGATTTAAAATTCACATCTGAAACCTCAATTATTACACTTTCGCACCAACCTAATAGTATAGTTTGATATCAGGTAGCATAATACCTTCAACTTTGTTCTTCTTTTTCAGGAGTGCTGTAGCTATTTGGGGACTTCTGTGGTGCCATATAAAATTTAAGATTATTTGTTCTACTTCTGTGAAAAATGCTATTACATTTGTATTTTAATAGGGATTGTATTGAATCTATAGATTGCTTTGGGTAGTAGGGACATTTTAATGATGTTAATTCTTCCTACCCATAAGCACGGTGTGGGGCTGAACTGTTTCCACTCACTTATTGAGCTTTTTCACCTATCCAATTTGCTTCAAATGCCAAACAACCATAGAATGGTCGACGTTGAGTTCTTTGGCAACTTCTCGTATAGTTGTAAGAGGATCAGCCTCGATGATTGCTCTCAACTGGTCGTTGTCAACTTCCGTTGGCTGGCCATTATTCTCCTCATCTTCAAGGCTCTCCTCTCCTTTGCAAAACTTCTTGAACCACCACTACACTGTACATTTGTGAGCAGTTCCTGGGCCAAATGTGTTGTTGATATTGTGAGTTGTCTCCACTGCTTTATGACCCAATTTGAGCTTGAATAAGAAAATCGCTCGAATTTGCTTTTTGTCTAACATCATTTCCATAGTCTAAAATATATACAAAATAAACAGCAAGTAGTAAGTCATTAGCAAAAAAAAAACCACATAAAGTGAGAAATGCACATTAGAATGATGTATAACATAATCACATTTATTTAAGAATGTATTCCAATATCAAAGGCAAATTTCAACAATGCAAAAACCTTAATTACGTTTGCACCAACCTAACACAAGTCTACATTAATTAAAACAGCATTGTACTGGCATAAAAACAGACACATAGATCAATGGGGCAGAATAGATATCCCAGAAATAAACCCATGCCTATATGGTCATTTAATCTATGAGAAAGGAGGCAAGAATATACATTGGGGGTAAAGACAGTCTAGTCCAGGGGTCTGCAAATTTTTGAGACACAAGAGCCAATCCTGTTCCTCACAACAATTTAAAAATTATTCGAGAGTCATTAAACAATAGAAATCACCATTATGTAAATAATATCCTTTAAAAATTTTATAAATGAAACTATGAATAGTTTTATTTTCATTTTCAGTTTTACTTCAGAGCCACATGTGGCTTGCGAGCCACAGTTTGCCGACCCCTGGTCTAGTCAATAAATGGTGTTAGGAAAACTGGACAGATATGTAAAAAAAAAATGAAACTAAACCACCTTCTTATACCATATACAAGAATAAACTCAAAATGAATTAAAGGCTTAAATGTAAGACCTGAAACCATAAAACTCCTAGAAGAAAACATAGGCAGTAAACTCTGTGACATTGCTTTAGTAATATTTTTTCAGATATATCTCCTCAGGCAAGGAAAACAAAAGAAAAATAAACAAATTGAACTATATCAAACTAAAAAAGTTTTTGCACAGTAGAGGAAAACACCAACAAAATGAAAAGACAGCCTGCTGAATGGAAGAAGATGTTTGCCAATGATACATCTGATAAGGGGTTAATATCCAAAATTTATAAAGAACTCATACAACTCAATGCCAAAAAAATAAATAATCCAATTAAAAAACGGGCAGAAGACCTGAACAGACATCTCTCCAAAGAGAACATACAGATGGCCAATAGACATATGAAAAGATGCTCAACGTCATTGATCATCAGAGAAATGCAAATAAAAACCACAATGAGATATTACCTCACACCTGTCAGAATGGCCGTCCTTAATAAATCAAAAAACTACTAGTGTTGGCGAGGATGTGGAGAAAAGGGAACCCTCATGCCCTATAGGCAGGATTGCAAATTGGTGCAGCCACTATGGAAAACAGTTTGGAGGTTCCTCAAAAAATTGAAAATAGAACTATCCTATAACCCAGCAATTTCACTTGTGCGTGTTTATCTGAAGAATCCAAAACACTAATTCAAAAAGATATATGCACCCCTATGTTCACTGCAGCACTATTTACAATAATCAGCATATAGAAGCAACTTGATGGACGAACGGATACAGAGGAAGTGGTACACATATACAGCAGAATATTACTCGACCATAAAAAAGAATGAAATCTTAAAATTTGTGACAACATGGACAGACCTAGAGAGTATTATGCTAAGTGAAATAAGTCAGACTGAGAAAGACAAAGACCATATGATCTCATTTATATGTGTAATCTAAAGAACAAAATAAATGAACCAACAAAACATTAAAAAGTTACACGTAACCGGGAAAATTAGAAGCAAAGTTAAGTGCTTAATAATCAGGGAATTGTGGAAGAAAGGAGGGAAGGAGTGGAAGAAAGGAGGAAGGAAGGGTGAAGGAAGGAGGGAAGAAGGAAAACTGTATCTATATAATGGACTATTATGCAGTCAATAAAAGCATGCTTAAGAATATTTTTTTAAAAAAAGGAAAGTAATGTTTCTGGGCTAAGAGTGTCAGGGTAATTGTTCTTGCTATAAATATTTCCCCCCCCTTAAGGCAGGTGTATTTCAGCCAGATACACAACCAGATACATATTTTTTAATATTGTATTCCAGGAAAAAAAATACATGCACAAATGAAAAAGTTTTCTGAAACAATATTTAAGACTACTAGGTTAAACATATTCAGATATTTTCTATTTTATATTTCTCTAGCTCATTAAAAAAAAAATCTGGTTACCACCCACTAAAAAGATTTTGCACCCACTGATGGGTTACAACCTGCAGTTTGAAAACCACTGCCCTAAGGGGTTTGCCTAAGATGCTGGGTTGGGACTCTTCTCTCTAGACCTCCTAGCCTCACCATTTCCCTCATTGGGGGCCAGTTTGATCCCTCACAGAGTATGGTTGCTCAGCTTAAATCCAGGATACCTAGGCTCCTTACAAGAGATGATATTTAGCTAGGGATTACTTAAAGCCAGGCAACATTGAGTACCTGCCAGATGGAAGGCTCCTCTTCACAGGCTGCCAAACCCACCATAGCTGAGGTGGAGGTACCTGGAGAGCCATTCATCACTTGAGGTGATGAGAGAGTGATGATGATGTATACCCATGCACACACTCAGCCATGCACATGATCGTGCCCCAAGATTCCCTATTGTGTTTTCATACCCTTCAGCTGCAAGCAGAAATGCAAGCCTTTTACATAGAAGAGGCTCTGTGTATCCAAAGAAAATACCTGGGCCCCCTTCTCCGGAGATTTCAATCTAAATACTGTATAGCTAACTTCCTATATCTTGACCCAGAAAGAAAAACATAAAAAAAATTTAACAGCTCTGAGATAAGCTCTGATGATATCAGATATCCAACAATAAAGGCCCTGGAAATATCATGATGTATAGCTTGATCCAGTTTCATACTAAAAAAAAATAATAGTGAAGTTTCAAGTAGGCTCTTCCTAGTGATAATATATTTAGATGAAATATGTCCTGGAATTTCACAAATCCCTGTGAAATAAATAATACTATAACCCCCATTTTACAATGAGAAAACCAAAACTTAGAGAGGTTAGGACATTTTTCCAAAATCACCCAGAAATAATCAACATGGATGGGATTTGAACTCAGTTTATCTGATTCTGTGTGGGTGCAAAAATGTGCCACTCTTCAAGAAAGGACTTCCTGCTCCAGCTGCTGGGAATGCCCTCAGTGGCAGCCTTCAGCTGTCAAACTGTTCAGGGATTAACTCAGCCTCAAAGAAATACCTTGACCAGAGTCACAACCTTCTCAGAGCAGCCTACACCCAGTGACCGACTGAGGTGGAAATATAAGACCCAGCCATAGCAGGACAAGTCTGAAAGATCATTTTGGTTCCAGCGCTCCCTATCAGGTCAACTAAGGTTGCCATGAGGCCTATACCAAGCTGTACTTCCCCTCTGCCCAATCTTGCTTCCTTTTTCTTTTTTACCACAGTCCTTTCCAACACACTCCTTAGTAGATAGCCTGCATACCAATTTTGTCTCTGGGTATGCTTCCCTGAGAACCAAAACTGTAGCAAAGAAAAATCCTCCCAATGGGCGGAGCTTCAAGTGACCATTCACTTTATATGGAGAAAAATGGCCCAAAGTTAAAATATCTATAGATTCACAGGTAGTGACAAGTGGCCTAGCTAGCTTGTCAGGAGGATCAAAGGAGGAATCATGGAAGAACAGGGAGGCAAGGACTGGGTAAAGATATGAGAATGGACATAAAATGAGAAGAGCTTTCTGTCATATATCAAAGTACGCCAAAGAGCATCCACCACAGAAGAGGCATAAAGCAACCAAGTGGACAAAATGATTCAGCCAGATGATGCCAGCTAGCCCCCCAGAATGTCATCAGTCACCCCAGAAATTGAGGCTATGCATGGGCTCAACAACATGGGCATCCGCTTAACAAGACTGATGTCATTGCTATTGCTATCAAATGTCCAACCTGTCATTAACAGAGACTAAGGCTGGACCCCCAACATGGCACCATTCTTTGAGGGGACCAACTGACCGTGTGATGGCAAGTTGACTATACTGGGCCACTTCTACTCTGAAAGGGCCAGTGATGCATGCTCACACTAGTATGTGTTTGCCTTTCCTCCTTGCAGGTCTTCAGCCAGTATTTCTATACAAGGGATTGGAGATTCCCTTGACATGGAATCCTACATAAGATTGTGTCAGATCAGGTAACCACATCACCTGAAGTGCAGGAATGGGTTCATGTCCATCAGATCCCCTGGTCACATTACATACTGAACCACTCAGAAACCACTGGAAAGAGAAGTGTCTCTTGGAAGCATAGCTCAAGTGCCAGCTTGAAGGTGAAATTTTGAGGACGGTGAACCATCCTCCAGGACAGAGAATATACCTTGAATTAGACTTTATATAGTGCTGCATCCCAGTAAGAAGACAACATGGGTCTAGATACCAAGGGGTGGAAGCAGGAGTGACACTTACCTTGAACCCCCAGGATCCATCTGAGAAATTTGTGCCTCCTGTCTCCCAATCTCTCACCTCTACAGGGTATGAAGTCCTGTTGTCTAATGAAAAACAACTTCCACCAAGGCATACAGATATCAGCAAGCAAGAAGAAGAGTTACTATGCTCGCTGGGGCAATTGACCCAAATCATCCAGAAGAGGCAGGGCTATAGTTACAAAACAGGGGCAAGGAGGAATATGTTTAGCACACAGGTGATTTGCTTGGGCACCTCTTTGTATTCGCTTGTCCAGTGGTAACAGTAAATGAACAAGTGCAGTAATAGAAATGAGGACCTGGGCTGTGCCACTGGGTAAGCAGCCTCGGCCAACTCTCTGTGGGTGATGGGAGTATAGACTTGATAGTGAAGCAAGGAGCAAATGAAGACCCTAGGACCCTAGCATTGGGGACCCTAGGACCTGCAACAGTGCTCAGGATTATCATTTTTCTCTTCTGAGATTCCCCCAGAAAGGAAGGCCCATCAGAACCCAGGAGATGTTCCCTAAACAGATAAGAAGTGGGTCCAATGGCTCAGCGAGTGATCTGTGATGAACAGGGACATGCACCATCCAGTTCTCCCTTCAAAAAAGGACTTGTCACCCAGCTTCTAAGGGTGCTGTTGGAAGACAGCCTTCAGCTGTCAGTCCATCAGGAATGGACTCAACTACAGAGAGTTACCTTACCAAAGTCACTTCCTGGGTTGTGGATACAAGGAGCTGTGGCTGTACATTTAATGACTGATTCAGGCAGAAGTATAAAGGCCCAGCCGTTTCATTTCAGTACAGGACAATTTGATAGACTGTGTGGTAGCAGAATAATGTACCCTCCCCTTCCCATCTCCCCCCCACCCACTCACCCAAAGCAAAGATATCCACTACCAAATCCCTGGAACCTGTGAATATGTTACATTACATGACAAGAGGGAATTAAGGTAACAGATAGGATTATGGTTGCTAATCAGCTGAACTGAAAATAAAGAGATTATTCTGAATTATCTGGGTTGGTACAGTAGAATGATGGGAGGAGGAGGGTGAGAGGGGTTGTCCTTTGTCCTTTAAAGTGTAAGTGGGAAGCAGATAAAAATATCAAGTCAGAGAGATTTGAAAATGCTCCTCAGATGGCTTTGAAGATGGAGGAAGGGTCAAGGAACGCAGACCACCTGTAGAAGCTGGAAACAGCAAGCGAATGCCTTCTCCGTTGCAGCCTCTAGAAGGAACACGGCCTTGCTGACACCTTGATGTGAGCTTGGTGAGACTCATTTCTCATTTCAACCTCCATAACTGTAAAGATAATAAATGTAGGTTGTTTTAAGCCACTAAGTCTGTGGTAATTTGTTCCAACAGTAATAGGTTACCGATAGAGGCCATTGTAGCTTCAGAGCTTCTGTGAGGTCAGAGGAGTGTGCTCTGGGGCCTGTGTCACACAGAACTTCTCTGTCCCCTCCTGCTTCCTTCACCTCTCCTCCACATATTGAGCCTGAAGGGCACTTGCCCTGAGAATGTGAACCACTGTCTTGAAGTGTGCTTCCCAGAGAACCCAAACTGGGGTGGATATAAAAGCTCATGATGACTCCTCATGACTACAAATATATAAGTAACACATATATAAACGTAAGGTTTATCATCGTTAACCTTTTCAGTGTTTCTTAAAAAGTATAATGCCTAATATGAGTAGCACTGGCCCAAATATTAATACAATATGAAGTAAATATGAAGAACATGGACCTGACAAGTCAACACGAGTTTCATTCTAGCTGTTTACATGAGCACATTACTCTAAACTTTTTGGATTCAATTCCCCTTACTCACCGCCACCCCACCCCATAAATAGGGATGATAAATACCTTTCCCCACTAGATAGCATTCACTAAGGTAAAATTCTTAAGCATTTAAATCAATGTTTGCTGATTTGTGATAAAGACTCCATAAAAGTTAGTCAGCTCCCTCAACTCTACTTCATTGTTTTCTCTCAGGAATATACAACCTCATTTAATATAAATTAGGAGTGGGGCAGGCAAATCACCATTAAATTATATGATTCTGTTCTCAAAATATGTGCTTCAAGCTGAAAGCTCTGGAAGATCAGTGTGACCTGGGTGGTGAAGAAAGGTTTCTTTGGGGACATGGGAACTGAGCTGAGCTCTTACAAACACTTAAGAGAGAGAGCAAAGTGGACAGTGGGCTCCAGAGGGGTCCTCACTCTGATCCTAGCACGTAGTCCTAAACCAGGTAAATGGGAGGGGCAAGCACCAGATAATAAGGTTTCCACAATGCTGCAATTATTTTATTTATTTTAACTGGTAACTTTAGACTTATAGGACCGTATATCTTCTAGTGTATACAGTGTATTTTGAAATGTATTACATAAATATGAAGTGCTGTTATAACTAAGAGGAATGTGAAAAGAAGAAGAAAAACGAGATGAGGGCAAAGATGTTGAGCTATGTACTCATCTCAGATAAACACATAAAACCTCTGAAATTATGACATAAGCAGCAAGGTTAGATTTATAGCCACGGGTATTGTTCTCATTCCAAGCTCCTACTTTACACTCATCATCTTTGTATTCATATGGCATCTCTATTTTCAATGTCTTACAAATTTCTCCATTTCCTAGTAACCTTTTCAGCTGAAATTTCATATGCTTCATATAAGCTCAGAAGCAAATTCTTTTCTGGAAGGTTGAAGCTATCTGTTCAGCCATTTCTGAGTTACCCAAGCATGAGCAAATGTTGTTTAGGGAATTTGTCAAGATCCTCTTTTTGTGTGTTCAGATTTAATTCAAGATGGTTTAAATTTAAACCTCCAGAGCTTGGTGCACGCGTTCTCTTAGGATAAAAACATTCTTTTCTTTGACATATGACTGGCTAAGGTTTACACTCCACTTTCTGTCTATATGGACTGTGGTTATGAGGCAGATCTACTCAAATCCTGGAAAATCCTTTGGGTTTGCAGACCCTCCATGTATGTTATAGTTAGAAAAATGCTTTTTTTTCTTTCTTTTTTCCTCCTCCAAACCATCAATGCTCTAGAAGATTTGAGGGATAACAACACCTGTCTGGCTGCATTGTCAGACAATAACAAAAGTTTTATTCTATGAAAAATTAGAAAAATAAAGTTTTACAATATTTACTTTTAGAAACTTGGGAACTGGTCCTTCTGTTTTAGAAAGGAATATGTGTGTCGCTAGTAGCACCTATTATGCAAATATTGGATATATTGACAAAGTTCTTCTAAGATGACAGCCTATTTACTGTATGACTATAAGTGCCCTGAAATACTGAGAACTTACAGAATTAAAAAGAACTAAAGTAGGAAAAGTGGATGGGGCAGAGAAAGGAGAGAAGAGGGCGAAGAAGCCTTCCTTATGACCTGGCAGGCAGTCCCAAGACATATGGACTTGTTCTAGTTAATTACTGGTGCATGACAAAACACTTCAAAACTTAGTGACTTAAAACAATAACAATCCTTTTATTATCATCATATCTCTGGGGGTTGCCTGGGCTCAGGTGAACAATTTTTGCTCAGGGTCTCTCATGCAGTTGCAGTGTCTAGGGCTAGCAGTGTCTGAAGGTTCACTCGTTGATCTAGCTCCTAGGCTGGGGAAACTCAGACACCTGAGGCTCCTTGAGCATTTGTTTCTGTCTTTACATGGTCTTTCCACGTGGTCGCTCAACTTCAGAGTAGCCAAACTTGTTTCAAGGCAGTTCTGGACTTCAGAGGTCCATGTGCCAAGTGAGAGAGCCTGTTGTAATCTGCACCGACTTTTCTAATCTGGTCTCACAAGTCAAGACAGTCACAAAGGCCCACTCAGTTTCCAGGGGAGGTGCACCCAAGAAACTGCGGATGTGTTTTCAAACAGGACTTTATAGACCTCTGGCAGAAAGTCTGGGACAGTATGATGAGTCACTCACTAAACCACAGATTGGTTCATTGTGGGTCCCCTTCTGCTGTGGTAGAAGGATACTGTCATGTTTGTGTTCCTGCTCTGGAGTTAGACTGCCTGCCTGGACTTGCTTCTGCCCCGACACGTGCTGAGCCTGGAACCTTAAGCAAATCTCTCTCAGCACCTCAAGTTTTCTTATCTGTAAACTGGGGTAATGACAGCTAACGTTTATTGCACTCTTAGTAGATGCCAGACATTGTCCTAAGTGCATTACATACTATCTTATTTTATAACCAGGATAACCCTATGAGGTAGCTGCTGACCTCCCAAATCATAAGGTTGATAATAATAGAGACATCTTTTAGGTCTGTTTTGCGGATCAGGTGGGACCATCTATTATGTTCACTCTTGATGTTATGAAAGCCGCTGGGGCAAGTTCTAGTGATGCCAGGTCAGGAAAGTGAGCCAGTTCTAGAAATGGACCAAACGTGCATGATGCCACACAGGAGCGCAGTTTGTTCCAACTAGAAGTGAAAGACCAGTGGAGGCTAAAGGGGGTAAGATATCTTGACAGGTGTGTGTAAAAAAAAAAAGTATAAAAAGACCCGCCACTCCAAGTCTCATTTGGGACTATGAGCACAGAACCAAGCGCAGTTCGCGCAGCGGGACCAGGGGCACCACTTTGAGCTTGCAAAACGGGAATGTTTATCTTTTTCCTGAAAAAGGAATCCACGACTCCGGGCAGTTTGAAGAGTTCTGCGGGGAGAACACCCGCCCTGTGCCTGAAGCATCTCCAAGTGTCGGGGCCCGCGTCGTGGCTGGATGCGCGGAGCTGACACCTTTCCCGCGGGCCTCCTGTGTATTCTGCCTCCCCTCGCGTCCCCGTCTCCACCCTTGGCTCCCTGACTCCATGAGCCACCTTCCCCTCTTCCCTCTCCGCCTAGGTGCCTACTCCTGCGATTGCACAGCGCCCATCTTCCCAGTCCCGGCAAAACCCGGAGAGGTGGAATCCCTCGCCCGGAGCGCCCCGGCGGCCACTGGGCATGCTCCGTTGTCAGGCAGGTTCGCGGCTGCGAGCAGCTTCGGAGGCTCACGGATTCCTCCTGCTGCCGCGCGTCCTCCTCCTCCCGAGCAGGGAGCCGGCGCATGATGGCGGCCGCGGCTGGGAGCGCCAGCGGCGGCGGCAGCGGCGGCCGCGGCGGGAGCAGCAGCAGCGACACGTCCAGCACCGGCGAGGAGGAGCGGATGCGGCGCCTCTTCCAGACGTGCGACGGCGACGGGGACGGATACATTAGCAGGTACTCAGGGAGGTACGCGAAACCGGCTGGGGCGAGACCAGCCTCTCCGCGCTGCCCTTGACTCCTCCTCCGCCCTCTCGCCCCAACTTCCAGCAAGTTGCTCAGAAGCTCACGGGGAAAGTTGGCTGCGGCTCCGAGAGCGCATCGCGGGCTCGGCCACTGAGGCCGAAGGGCTGCTGTGCTCGCCGTCGGGAGGTGCCAGTTGGTCCAACTTTTCCCAGCGCTGTCTTTGTCTGAGCGTTGGGCGGTATGCCGTTGGGATGGGAGTCTTCCCCTGGGTCTCGGAGCGCTCCTGCCTGTGGGGAAACGGGTCTGGCCGCCTGTCCAGGTAGGAGGGGCTGCCCTGCAGCCTCGGGCTCCTGGGTGTCAAGATTCTGTGGCACCGGGCAGCGATCTGTCCAGCTGCTCCGTGAACAACCCCGGAGCCGGACCAGGATAGGGATGCTCTCTCTTTCAGTGACAGAGTTGAACAGGAAAACAGGCTGTGAAGAACTTTCACGTGCCACAGAGTCCCTGCATTCCAAACTTTGTAACCCAAAAGAATAGGTGTAGTTTGCTACCAGTACTGATTTAAACCTATTAGCCTGAGGGGAACGAAGCACTCCAGAGCAAACTGGGGGTTTAGAGGCAAATCTGGAAGGTAAGACCTCACTCCCTCCCCAGCTTGGCGCTCTCACCAGGTGAGCCTCCAGAGGGGTCTCCGGGCGCCTCTGCGCGACCACTCGTAACCCTCGCGGTGTTTGCTTCCAGATCCCTTACGGGGGCAGTGTTTCCGCTTCAAGCCGCAGGGCTCTTGGTAAAATAATTACGTCTTCCCAAATTTTCATCACTTAGCAGACACTGATGGTGAAGAAGGCAATCGTAATCTTTTACCATATGCTTCTATGAAAGATTGGCACAGGGCGCTGAAGACTTTATGTGCCGAAATTTGGTTTGCCTTCAAGGAAGTAGACCTCCTAAGTTGTATATTACACCTGTGTATTACATTTTTGTGTATTGCACCTTTGTTTGGTGATGCTAAAGATCTCTGAAAATTCCTGGCTGTCTCCTGATGATTGTCCTTGCCTACTTGTGTGTGTGTGTGGGGGAAGAGTGGGGAATCCCCCCCACACACACACAAAGGAATTTTTTTAAAGATCTCTGAAACAGGTAATTTGACATGTAAAAATTTGGCAATTAGAAAAATAATTTATTTAGGACTTTTGACTCTATTATGAGAACTTAGCTGAATTTTATTACTTTTCTAAAGTTTCATTGGGAAACATTACAAGGATATCAGAAAACTTTATAAAGTAATTCTGTTCTGAAATGAAAAAAAAATATATAACTCTAGTTGACCACACAGGTTTTTATCTGAAAGTCTTTCCCTATTTTGGTTCTGGGATTGAAAATGTCATAATATAGTTTAGATTTGTTGTGGTAGTTTTCCTACTCAAAAGGCCATTATCTCGTTTTCAATAATAAAAACAATCTATACTCTTCATGTTAAGATGCAAAAAGAATGTAATTCACCTGAGCAAGAGTGCATATAGAAAACTAGCAGAATTCTCTCCTTCCCTTCCTCTAATCTGTCCCAGTAATATGTTGCTTTATCTGAACTAGACTTTCTGTACAATTGCTTATGTTATTTTGAATGGTGGCAGCATCTACCCTTAAGGATAATGAATTCTGTGAGCATCATTTGAGGACTTTGTGTTGGAGGGTAAGACATTGTGTAGACACCTGCCTGCTGGGGCAAAAGTGGAAAAAACTATCATTCCTTGAGCCGCATCACTTTACTATATCTGCTTCAAAGTTGAAAGGTATGTGCAGTAACGAACCCTAAGCCATAGCTTTAACTGTGGGCAGAGTTGCCCTGGAAGTTATGCTGTGACAAAATTTCCATATAGGAGGATTTCAGGAATGGCAATCTTATTGAAACAAAGCACCAAGGAAATTCTCTAGAAGTATGTTTACACAGCAAGCACAGTTTTACCTGGAATATACATTTATTTGGTATGGCTTGGGGAATGGGGTTAATGAAAATAAGTGGAATTAAGTGACTCCCTCTTCAAAGCCGCTTCTTTGTGCTAGCACTCTTTAATGACCTTTACTGACGACCACAGTGGGTGATAATGGCGTGGAATGCTATGAATTTTCTCTTTTATTAAACATGTGAGTTGCATTTTCTACACTAACCCCCCCCCACCTCAGATTCTTTAAAAGATGTTACGTTTATGCTCATGGTACATAGCTGTATCTGTTAGGATTTCAGTTGGCTATATATATTAGAAACATAATCACAGTAAAAAAAAGTGTTGGCTTTCTCAACTACAAATCTGAAGGTGGTCCATCAGGCTGGGACAGCTGTTCCACAATGGTGCCAATGCCCAGCTTCCTTCTATCTCAGTGCATCACTGTTCTTCACATAAAACATTCATCCTCATGGTTATCTCAATAGTGTTGAAACGATTGCTTTATCTCCAGCCTCATCTCCAAGTTCTGGGGAGGAAGGTGTCAAAGGAAGCTGAAATGAGTGATGCCTGTATCATTAAAGCAGATTTTTCCCAGATCCCTTAATTGACATCTTATTGATCAAACTACATCACCTTACCATGCGTACTTGCAATAGAGTTCAAGGAAGTTTGTAATTCAGTTCATCACATTGCCTCCTAAACAAAATGAGAGTCCTGTTACTAAAAGCAGGGAATGTATATCGGGTAAGCAGGTAGCAGCCAAAATGTACACTGTAATAAATAATGTACATTCAACTATATTGGCTCTGGTCCTTTGCCTAGCCCTCATTCTCAAATAGGAGTGGGCTAGAGATCTTAGGTTTGGAGAGAGGATAAGTGAAAGATAGACTGAGTCCCGAAGGGGAAATGTCAGGGTGCACCATCTCAGGGAGAAGGAAGTAAAAGGTAGGGCTCTGAATCTTCAGTATTCTTTTGGTCTAATTTTCTGCATCTGAGAAACAACAACAAAAAAGGCATCAGCTAAGTGGAGATTTCTGGAATAGTGCTTCTGTCAAGAAACTCCCAGCCTGCCAGAGGGACCCAGAATCATCTCCCATGGATAGTTAAGGGGGAGCAGACAACTACCATCAGTGGAGCCAAACCACAGCTTGAACAGGGCAGGATTTGGGTTGCACAGTGGGACCACAGTAGGCTCTTCTGTGCATTTCATTAACTGTTCAGTGACTTAAGCCCACATTTTATGGTATTGAATTTTTGGATTCTATTTATGATGTTATAGGAGATGGTGGGGTTACTCTATTTGTTAAAATTAATTCCCCTCTGGTATTTTAAAGCTTCTGTTTTTACCCTTCAGTTTAAGAAACTATCTTGCACATTTTGACAAATATCTACAACCATCACTTACATTTATATCTAGTCACCAAGTCTCAGCTCAAACGTTGGTGCCTTAGAGAGAACGTCCCTGACCAATATATCAGAGTGGGTTTGTTCTACCCCACCACTATTCTCCATTATAGTACCATTAGCTTTCTTCCAAAGCACTCTTTATAGCTTGTCATTGCATTTTTATTTACTACTTTGCCCATTTATTGTCATTTTCCCATTAGATGTAGCCTTCATGAGGGCAGGAATCATGTCTGTTTTGTTAAAACAGTACAGTCATGATCTCGCACAGTATTTGACATATAGCATTCAATCTGTAAATTCTGATGAATAATTGATGAAAAATAAACAGTGGTATGTTCATGTATACTGGCAAATCTTTTAAGCATTTTCATTGTTAAGCATATTTCATGTTTATGAAATACTTTAAATATGAGTAGGTTTTATTAAATAATATTTTATTTTAAAAATAACTGCTTTCAGGTTATATAAAATATATTCTTGTTGGAAATTTGGAAAATACAGAAATGTATAAAAATAAAATCAAAATCATCCATTATCCCATAACCAGGAAATTTCATTTCTATTTTCCAGGTGATATATCTGCATCCTATCATTCTTCTAGTATATTAAAAATGATTGGATAAAAGAAAAGACACCCAATGCTCATGGATAGAAAGATTTAATATTGTTATGTTGGCAGTACTCCTCCAAATTGATCTACAGACTCAAAACAACCTTTCTCAGAATCCCAGCTGTCATTTTTTGCAGAAATTGACAATCTAATCCTAAAATTCATATGGAAATTGAAGGGACCCAAAATAGTCAAAACAATCTTGAAAACGCTTGAAGAACAAAATTGGAGGATTCACACATCCCTATTTCAAATATTACTGCAAAGCAACAGTAATCAAGACAGCGTAGTACCAGCAAAAGGATAGACATATAGATCAGTGCAATATAACTGAGAGTCCAAAAACAAACCCATGTAATGGGGAATTGATTTTCAACAGAAGTGCCAAGACATGGGTGCCAAAATCAAGGGTGGAATAGGGAAAGAATAGACGTTTCAAGAAATGGTATTGGGACAATTGGAGAGCCACATATAAAAAATGAACTTGGACACTTTACTCACATACAAAAATGTATATGTTCATCATATACACAATGTATATATTCCTTACATTCCTCATATACAAAAATTAACTCACAATGGATCAAAAGCTTAAATGTAAGAACTAAAACTATTAAACTCTTAGAAAAAAACCTAAGACAAAATCTTTGTCACCTTGGATTTGGCAATGGATTCTTATATAGGAAACCAAAACAGAGGTTATAATAGAAAAAATAGGTAAATTGGGCTTCATCAAATTTTTTTTAAATTTGTGCTTCAAAAGACACTATCAAAAAAGTTAAAGACAACCCAAAGAATGGGAGAAAATATTTGCATATATTTGATAAGGTATTTGTATCTAAATTATATATATAAAGAAGGCTTACAACTCAATAATAAATCAATAACCCAATTTAAAAATGGACAAAGGATCTGAATAGACTTTTTGCCAAAGAAAATCTACAGAGCCAATAAGCACGTGAAAAGAGTTTAACATATTAGCCATTAGGGAAATGCAAATCAAAATTACAATGAAACACCACTTTATACCCAGTAGGATG